TTTACTTTTCACTTTTCAGGATATTAGGGAAATTTTCTTCCAGCAGCTCTTCAACTATCTCCTCTGTGGTCTTCAGTGATTCTTCCTGTTCTGGAATTCCACTAATTCTCAAGTTATTCCTCTTCAAGTTGTCCCACATTAATCATAGACTTTCTTCCACTTTTCCCCCCCCTTTTTTCTGTTTGCTCTTCTATCTTAGCAGCATTGAGAGATTTGACATACACAGTTTTTAAACAACAGCAAAATCCACCAAAAAATATATCTGCAGATATATACGTATATAGTATATATTGTTGTAGTTCTTAAATGCCATTAAATCAGTTCTGACTCATAGTGACCCTGTATGGGACTTCAGGGGACTGAGGTAGCTCCATACGATAAGCAATAGACTACAAACCACAAAGTCCACAGTTTGAGCACAGCAGCCACTCCGCAGGATAAAGATGAGGCTTTCTGCTCCCATAAACATTTAAAGTCATACCAACCACTGAGTCTCAGCTCTCTGTAGGCTTTTAACAGTGGTCCCATCTCTATGAGTCAGATTTGACTCGATCACAGTGGGTTTGGTTTTGGGTTATTTGAGAAAGGGTGATTTCAGTCTGTCATCTACCCTGAGATCAGAACTAAATGGTTCCTGGCTACCACTACTGACTATTTTAATCAAGGCTACAGTAAATGGACCATGATGTAATGGGAGAAAAAGTTGGAAGAGAACCTCAAATTCCTAAAACTGGGAAAAAAAACAACTGCTGATAAAGAGACCCACTGGACTGGTTGAGACTGATGGACTCCCTGACACTATTGCCTGAGACACTAACCTTGTAGCTAAATAACAAATTGTTGTTAAGTGCTGTCAAGTCGGTTCCGACCCATAGCGACCCTGTACAGGGTTTCCGAGACTGTAAATGTTTACGGGAGCAGAAAGCCTCATCTTTCTCCCTCAGAGCACCTGGTAGTTTCGAACTGCTGACTTTGCGGTTCACAGCCCGATTAGTAACCACTATGCTACCAGAGCTCCTTAAATAACAAATTAGCTAATAAAATAATGAATAATGAATATTGAAATCAACTCTATGGCAATAAGTTTTTACCTTCAGTTAGGAAAATGCCACAAGAAATTTTTAAAGAGCCAATACATTTTGCAAACAACAACAACAACAACAACAACAACTAAGATTTAACAATAAGCCACAGGTAAATCTTTCAAACTTCTTCTATTTAAGTATCTTAATCTTATCTCCCATGGATACAATACACAGGTATATCTCAATTTACTGCACTTAACTTTATTGTACTTTTCAAATCCTGTATTTTCTACAAATTGAAGGTTTGTGGCAACCCCGCATCAAGCATTTCTATTGGCCTTGTGTGCTCACTTTGTGGCTGTGTTACATTTTAGTAATTTGTACAATATTTAAAAGTTTTTCACAGTGCTATTACACACTTAATGTTGGTGCTGCTAAGTGCCGTCAAGTCGGTTCTGACCCATAGCGACTGTGTATAGAGTTCCTGAGGAGAGAATGGTGAGCTTGAAGCGCCAGCCTTGCAGTTTAAACAGCTTTGCACTCTGGCGCATTAACCCACAGTGCCACCCACACCACTTAATAGACAGTATAAATAACGTTTTATATATACTGGGGAACAAAAAAAATGAGTGGCTCACTTTATTGTGATATGAGTTTATTGTGGTGGTCTGGAACCAAACCTACATTATCTCTGAGGTATACCTGTAAAAGTAATTTGCAATATCTTCTAGGTAAGAAGTAGCAATCAATGAAAAAGTTACTAAGGCTCCAAATGGTGAGGACAGAAACAACCTACACCTTTATAATATGTGCCTAAAATTCTATATGCTTGAGTACATTCTCTTGAAACACAATTATTTAAAGGTAAGAAACTTGCCAGATATTTGGAGCAACAGACTACCTTCTGTGAGGCTTTTTCTATTTTAAATGTATAAAATTCTTTAAATATAACAATATTATCACATTTTAAAACATTTAAAACTTACCAAGCTGAATGTTTCTTATCCATACTGATTGTTTTGTTTCTTTTAAGATTTTCTCAAAGTAAACTCCAGCAAATCCACTTGAAAAACAAGCTATGAGAACAGCCATGAGGCCTACAAATTGAGAGCTAGCTGAAAGCTCCTTAGAATCAAATTCTTGAGAATCTGAGGGCCACTGAACAAAAAGAAAAACAAAATTGAAGTTTAATTCCTTTAATATTATACCCATTCTTTGACTTTAAGATAAAAATTAAACCAGTATCATTCTTGAGAATTCCAGAAAAGAGCTTTTGAAAGAAAATCTTAAAATCGTGTGATACCTGCTCCCATATCTTCATGGTGATAATTTAGTGCTGTTATAGCTTATAACTTAAAAAAAAAAAACAACAAAAAAAAACAACCTGAGATATTTTATATTTCATCTCTATAGCAATAAATATATTATTTTGGCATACTTCTCTATTGAAAAGCACCATTTTAAATACAAGCAGATGAAAGAACAAGAATCTTATATTTTTTCTGCTACATTAACAAAAAAGCAGAGATAAACTGGAAAGAGATGTGCTAACTCAAATGTAAGAAACGCATGTTGGTAGAATATGAACCTCAAACATAGTCTAGGAAACACGGTCCATTAAGAAATGAAGGAAAAGTTTGGATACACTAGGGGGAAAAAAACATGCTGAAAGTATAGCTAAATTTTTTAATTCTCGTGGAACCTAGATTTTCTGGAGCCAGAGAAGTTTAAATTACCCAACCAAAATGATTTACCCTCGGAAACTATTGCCCCAAGGTAATCTTTGAATCTTAAACCTTGAGCCAAAACTAGTCTCATTAAAGCCATCTTTAAGTGAAACAATATTCACTGCCACTGCCAGTGAGTCGATTCCAAGTCATACCGACCCTATACAGAACAGAATAGAACTAAGTGCCCCTTTGGGTTTCCGAGGAGATTGTAAATCTTTGAGAGCAGACAGCCTCATCTTTCTCCTAAGGACAGGCTAATGGGTTCAAACTGCTGATTCTTGGGTTAGCAGCCAAATGTGTAACCCCCTATGCCACCAGGGCTCCCAGTAAAACAATTGTTGTTGTTAAGTACCGTTGACTCATAGCGACACTGCATACCAACCTTGCAATTCAGTGCTTGTCCTACAGCACTAGCTTAATTCATAAACAAAAATTTCCTTGGCTAATGGTGCTTTTTTAAAAGAATTTTCAATGTGTAGTCAGCTTTTGCTCAGTTCATTTTTTCCCATAAATCTTATTTATTTTGCTATTGTTGAGAATTGTTGTTGTTAAGTGCCTCTGAGTCAATTTCAACTCATAGTTGACCCTGTATAGATTTTCCAAGAAGCAGCTGATGGGTTTGAACTGCTGACCTTGTGGTTTGCAGTCTAGTGCTGATCCATCCTACAGCACCACACAAGTCCACTATTGTTGAGAATATACACAGCAAAACACACACCAATTCAATAATTTCTGCACACAAGATTTAGTGACACTGATGACATCCTCTAACGTGTGCAACCATTCTGACTCTCCTTTCCTGAGTAATCATTCTCTCATTAACAAAATTGTTTTCTAGGGTTTCTAAGTAATCTTTCAAGTTGCTGTTGCGAATTTCATTCCAGACAGTTTTTAAATGAGTATAGTGCTCCAAGTATACATTTTATTTACTAATTAAGATAAACTGTAGTGGTTTGTGAGTTGCTGTGATTCTGGAAGCTATGCCACAGGTATTTAAAATATCACCCACAGAGGACAGGTTTCAAATGAGGACAGACGAAGACAGATTAGGAAGGAGAGACAAACTACTTCGAAATATTTAGTCACTGAAAACCTTATGAATAGCAGAGAAACACTGTTAGATGTAGTGCCGGGAAATGAGTCCCTCAGTTTGAAAGGCACTCAAAATGCAACTGGGAAGAGCTGCCTCCTCAAAATAGAGTTGACCGTGATGATGTGAATGGAGTAAAGCCCATGGGACCTTCATGTGCTGATGGGGCACAACTCAAAATGAAGAGAAACAGCTATAAATGTCCATTAATAATCGGAACATGGAATGTATGAAGTATGAATCTAGAAAACTGGAAATCGTCAAAAATGAAATGGAACGCATAAACATTGATATTTTAGGCAATAGTGAGCTGAAATGGACTGGTATTGGCCATTTTGAATCTGACAACCACATGGTTTACTATGTTGGTAACGACAGATTGCAGAGGAATGGTGTTGCGTTCATTGTCAAATAGAATATACAGATCAGTCATGAGGTACAACCCTGTCTGTGACAGGATAATATCCATGCATCTATAGGGAAGACCAGGTAATGCCACTATTATTCAAATTTACACACCAACCACTAAAGCCAGTGAGGATGAAATAGAAGAATTTTACTAACTTCTTCAATCTGAAATTGATCAAACATGGAATCAAGATGTATTGATCATTACTGGTGATTGGAATGCAAAGGTTGGAAACAAAGGGGAAGAATCAGTAGTTGGAAAATATGGTCTTGATGATAGAAATGATGCTGGAGATTACATGGTAGAATTCTGCAAAATCAATAATTTGTTCATTTCAAATACCTTCTTTAGACAGCATTAGAGATGATTATATACATGGACCTTACCAGATGGAATACACAGAAATCAAACTGACTACATCTGTGGAAAGAGGTGGTGGAAAAACTCCATATCATCAGCCAAAACAAGGCCAGAGGCAGATTGTGGAACAGATCATCAATTGCTCATATGCAAATTCAGACTGAAGCTAAAGAAAATGAAAACAAGTCCAGGAGAGCCAAAATATGACCTTGAATATATCCCACCTGAATTTAGAGATCACCTGACAGATTTGATACATTAAACACTAATGACTGAAGACCAGAAGAGTTGTGGGAGACATCAAGAACATCATCATACATGAAGAAAGCAAAAAGTCATTAAGAAGACAAGAAAGAATAGATCAAAATGGATGTCAGAAGAGACACTGAAACTTGCTCTCCAGCATCGAGATGCTAAAGCAAATGGAAGAAATGAGGAGGTCCAAGAGCTGAACAGAAAATTTCAAAGGTCAGTACAAGAAGACAAAATCAAATATCACAACAAAATGTGCAAGAGTCCGAAAACCAAAAGGGAAGCACACACTCAGTATTTCTCAAGCTGGGAGATATACTGAATGATGTAGAAAGCATCAAAAGATGGTAAGAAAACAGAGTCACTGTACCAAAGGGAAATGGTTGATGTTCAACCATTTTAAGAGGTAGCATATGATCAAGAGCCAATGATACTGAAGGAAGAAGTCCAAGGGGGATTGAAGGAATAGGCAAAGAACAAGGCTCCAGGAATTGATGGAATAAAAACTGAAATATTTCAAGAAAGTGAGGTGGCACTGGAGGCACTCACTCATCTGTACCAAGAAATTTGGAAGACAACTATATGGCCATCTGATTGGAAGAGATCCATATTTATACCCATTCCAAAGAAAGGTGACCCAAAGGAATGTAGAAATTATCGGACAGTATCTTTGACATTTCATGTGAGTAAAGTTTTACTCAGTAACACAGTAACACAGTAACACAGAAACAGCTGCAAGCATACATTGACAGAGAACTTCCAGAGGTTCAAGCCAGATTCAGAAAAGGCCGTGGAATAAGGGATATCACTGCTGATGTTCGATGGATCTTGGCTGAAAGCAGAGAATACCAGAAAGATGTTTACCTGTGCTTTATTGGGTCAGAGAAAAAGAGGAAGACCCCAATGAGATGGATTGGCCAAGTGGCCGCATCAATGGACTCAAGTGTGGCAACAGTAGTGAGGTTGGCCCAGGATTGGGCAGTGTTTTGTTCTGGTATGCATAAGGTTGCTATGGGTTGGTACTGACTTGATGGCACCTAACAACAACAACAAGTCCAATTCACAACCTACTACATACACTACTAGAGCTCCTTAAGGATATATGTGTATGTACATATGTATATCTAGTTGTTAAGTGGTGTTGTTTTAGTTCTGACTCAGTAACCCTGTATAGGGTTTCCAAGGAGCGGCTGGCAAGTTTGAACCACAAACCTTGTGGTCCAATGCCCATTATATTTTGTCAAAGGAAGTTCTCAAAAATTCTGTCAGTTTTGAGAAATAAGGATTTATTTGCTTCAATAGGTAACAGAATCATATTCTCCATCATAATAAATAAGGTTTTTGGGAAATTATTATTAAAATGAAAGGTATATTAATCTTGAATAGTTACCTGTACAAAAGCTACTCCTGTCATCAATATAACTAGAGATAGCCACTGGAACACGCTTAATTTTTTACTAAGCATAGATACAGAAAATAATGCCGTTGTTAGAATTTTCAGCTGGTATGTGACCTGGGAAAAGAGAAAAAAGCAAACAACTGGTATTAGTCATGTTTGTTTGTTTATTTTTAAAAGGACTATCAGAAATGTAATTTAAGTACCTGGTAAGTAGCTGCATCTAGATTTGACAGTGCCACGTAAAGCAAATTATTCTGAAGAGTATATATTCCTGATGGAATAGCAAGTTTAAGTGTTTCCATAGGTTTATTAAGAATTTCATCATGTAGCACTCGATTCAGTGTTCTTAGACTACATTCTAGACAAAACATATGAAATGGAAAAGTCAGTAATTATGTAGCAACTCTGAGTAAGCTATATATCCTCAAAGTTTCAGTTTTCTCACTGTTGAATAAGGCTACATGGTTAAACTACTTCTAGGTCTAAGATATATCTTTATGGTATCATTAGGTAACATATTAAGAAGGGTCCTTAAAAAGTTCATGAAAAATGTATATTATGAAAAAAAACTATAGATTTCAATATTTTTTTTAGCACCAAAATAAACTCATACAAATTTGTTATAACATGTTTGAACAGGTTCTTTTCAAACAAATATGACATTTGTTTGAAAAGAGCCCCTATGAGCAATGTAAATTCTGTTTAAATTGAAGCTAGAACAAACATCAAATTTATGGTGAAACTTGGGTAAAAGAATGGTGAAATCAGATACTTTATGAAAGTTTATGGGGATAATGTCCCAAAGAAATCAGCAGTTTACAAATGGATAACTCATTTTAAGAAGGAGCAAGACATTGACGATAGCCTGCTCAACAGCAGACCATCCACATCAATTTGCAAGGAAAAAATTAATCTTGTTCATGCCCTAATTGAAAAGGACTGACAATTAACAGTAGAAACAATAGCCAACACTATAGACATTTGAATTGGCTTAGCTTACACGATTCTGAAAGAAAAATTAAAGTTGAGAAAACGTTCTGCTCAATGGGTGTCCAAACTTGTGCCCAGATCAGCTGGAGACAAGAACAGAACATTCAGTGGAAATTTTAAACAAGTGAGATCAAAGTCCTGAAACTTTTTTTGTAAGAATTTTAACAGGAGATGAAACTTGACTGAAAACGCAGCACATTCAAAACAATGGCTACCAAGAAGTAGAAGTGGTCCAGTCAGTGCAAAAGTGGACCAGACAAGAGCAAAGATCATGGCAACAGTTTTTTGGGATGCCAAAAGTATACTGCTTGCTCACTTTCTGGAGGGCCAAAAAACAGTATCTGCTTATTATGACTGTTTCAAAAAAAAAAAACAACAACAGGAAAATGTCAGGGAAATCTTCACCAGAGAATTCTTCTCCACCACTACACTGTTTCTGCTCATTTCTCTAGTCCCGTGCGTTGAGTTTCCATGTTAAATCATTGAACATAAGTCCTGATTTTACTCCTCCTGACTTCTTTTTGTTTCGTGATCTTAAAAAATCTTTAAAGGGCATCCATTTTTCTCCAGCTAATAATGTAACAAAAATACCACATTGCCATGGCTATTAAATTCCCAGGATCTTTGGTTCTTTAGGCATGGGCTAAATGGCTGGCATCACTGCTTAGAAAAGTGTCTTGACCTTGAAGGAGCTTCTGTTGAGAAATAAAGTTCAGATTTTTAATTTTTATCTTTTAATTCCATTTTTCCATGAACTTTAAAAATTCCCCTTGTATATTCTTTCATTCTAATACACAATCAAAATGATCATACACAACCAAACATGTTCTCATATATATTCACAAAACCAAAAGTTCAGAGCTAATTTGATAACCAAATATTCTTACTTTATTGTAGCAACAAGTTAAAATCTTGCTGATTCCATTTTATCATCAGTCACCCATGTCAACTAACAATTATGAAGACTAATATTGGAAAGAAGGAAATGGTTTGGCTGCAAACAATAGAAAACCCAAGGAACGTTGTATTAACCCCACAGGGACTTATTGTCCACATAGCATGAGTCATGTCCAGCAGGTCAGTGATGCCATCATGGATAAAGACTTTTCCTCTCTCTAGTCCCTTTGCCATCCTTGCTAAATTAGCTTTTATCTTCATGTTTTTCATTTTTTGTCTACATGATTATTGCAAAAAAGTCACACCAAATGCCTGCTGCACCTCTGGTTCTTTTTACAAGTAACAAGAGAAAAGAGGTAAAACAGCATGATGAACAGGCATCTACTTGTCTTTCAATAACAGACTGTGTTGTATCCCTACCCTAGCTGCAAGAGAATTTAGAAATCAAATGTTTCTTTTATCTTCCAAATTGTTGTTAAGTGCCATTGAGTCAGTTCCAACTCAAAGGGACCCTGTATAGGGTTTTCAAGGAGTAGGAACTAGTATGTTTAAACCGCTGACCTTATGATTCAAATTTCACCTAACTGATTTCCCTTTGCTTGAAGTCCTGGTATGGCACTGTGGCGTTAATACTCTGGACAGCAAAAGTCATTTGAACTGCAAGATAGGCAGTTGAAGATCACCAGCCGCTTCTTGGAAACCTTATACAGGGTCACTATGAATCAAAACAGACTCAACGGCGCTTTAAAACAACAACAACAACTATTTTCCTTTGCTTAGCCTACAGTGCCTCATTAGAGACAGAAAAAGGAGAAAGGGGTTGGAAATGGAATTTGGGCTCATCATATTACATTTTAAGTCACAAAAAAGGTCAAAGAACTTTAAGACATACATAATCTAAAGAAAGAAAAGGGGCCCTGGTGGCACAGTGGGTTAATCACTGGGAGGATGACTAAAAGATTGGCCATTTTGAACCTACTAGAGGAGCTCTGGTAGCGTAGTAGTTACGAATCGGGCTGCGAACCCTAAGGTCAGCAGTTCGAAACTACCAGCCGCTCCGCGGGAGAAAGATCAGGCTTTCTACTCCCATAAAGATTTACACTCTCGGAAACCCTGTACAGGGTCGCTATGGGTCGGAACCGACTCGATGGCACTTAACAACAACAACAACCAGGGCCACAAGGAGCTCTGGTAACGTAGTGGTTACGAATCGGGCTACTAATCTCCCGGTCAGTAGTTTGAAACTACCAGCTGTTTTGTGGGAGAAAGATGAGGCTTTCTGTTCCTGCTATGAGTCAGAACTGACTCCTCAGCACATAACAACAACAACCAGTACCACAGAGGAAAGATGAGGCAGTCTGTGTCTGTAAAGATGTATGGCCTCGGAAACCATATGGAGCAGTTCTACTCTGTCCCATAGGGCCTCTATGAATGGGGATTGACTCAAAGACAGTGGGCTGGGTTTGGTATAAAATGACAATCCATGAGCTCTGTATTCTTATCACAATCTGAATGCCAGATAGGTAGTTCAAACCCCTCAGGGCATATGTACCCCACTAACTATATCAAAATCCACTATTAATTCAGAAATGATTTTTCATTTCATTCAAATGCTTTCCATTACTTAAAACATTAGGGTTCAACAAAAACTGAACAGAGGAGAACAATTAAAATGGCGGACCGGGTAGACGTGCAGTGAGGATCTCTATCATAAACAACACAGAATACCAGACCAAGCAGGCTCAGGGGATGGTCCCAGAACTCTGAACCACATATGAAGGAATATTTAGAAAGTTGGAAGGCTTACAGCCAGTAGAATTTGTAGCAGAAGCAAGAAATCCAGTGTATTCTAATCCAAGGCGCTCAGCTGCTTCCTGAGCGGCCATCTTGGGCAAGACAGAACGAGGGAAGGATCAGAGCAGCGAAAGACGGCTGACAGAATACTAAGATGTTTGACTGTCTTATGAACATTGGTTTCTCTTACCTACTATTGTAAAACAGACACTTGAGTGGGATAGAAAGAAATGTTGGGAAACATGATTACAGAAAACTTGTAAGCCTGTCTTCAGCCTATGTAACTGATTGGAATACCTAAAGGGGGGTTTCTAGAACTTGCCCAGTGAAATAGGCCTCTCGCAGAGCCTTTGCAGAGTAAAGGACCTTAGGTGGAATCTTGAGCCCCATCCAGGACCTTCTGAGGTGGAACATTCCCACTAGAAAGGACAAGCAGACCAGCCTGGAACAGCTCGAGCTACAGAAGATACATCTTCCAAGAAAGATCATTAGGAAAAACCCAAAACAAAAATGTCAGTATGACTGGCTACTACAAGAATATGCAAGCTGTTCACTGGGAAGCCATCAAGGCAAACAATCAAGTTCCTTCTGGACAAACCCCCACCTCTAAGACTGAAACTCAAAGGGAACACATGAGCTGGCATGTAAGCTTGCTGGCAACCACATTGGTCTACTGGTGAGTGGAAGAGGGGGGAAGGCAGCTATGAAGAAATGGGCTGAATTCAACCACAGTCCATTGACTCCTGTTGACCCGGAAATGAGAGAGAGAAGAGGAAGGGCTGGTTGCTCTAAAGTGAGGTAAGACCTGGGGACACCTGAGCCCATGGACAAGGACATAGCTACAGAGGGCTAGAGCTGAGAGGGAAGCATCCAGCTGATATGAAGTGAAGGGAGATACACAAGAACACCCAAACTTACAGATAGCACCCATTGACCTAGCCCCGAGGGCTTGATAATCAGAACTTGACTAGAGGAAGATCAAAAAACAAACAATTTTTGATAAAGGAAACAAGGGTAAATTGCTACAATTTGATGAACCTGACCTATACTCATGGAGGTAGTAACTCTAAATAGCAACAGAGAAGGAAGGAGTTTTCACATCAAGTATCAATGCTATCCCCTTTATACACAGGGTAGATAGGGTCGTGCAACTTAGACATTGGCTACCTAAAATGAGGGAGCAATAAAGGCATGAAGTGACTGGCTTACAAGGTTTCAAGAGAGTTTAGTTTAAGAATATGTGGAGGAAGAAAGAGTCCCCACTGAACAGTTTTCATCTTGTCTAGATGAGCCTTGTTAGAAGAGATGGGGATAAGATTCTTATGATTCAATAGTGAGTAATTATTTTCATGACTAATTGTGACTGTCACAATTGTAAAGGTAGAAGTTTTGTAACAAAAGTGGGGGAGACATTAATCTTACAGTCCAGAAACAAAGGACCCTAGGACCATCAAGGGAGAAGAACACAAGTGGAATGTGGGACCTTATCCAGAGTAGCAGCAACACCAGAGATAGCGGCAGAGATGTGGACATGGAGAGGGGGAGCGGCTGAGGACTCTAGATTCATGGCAAGAGAGACACTCAGAGATAGTGGCCAGGAGGCAAACTTGCAGATTTTGCCCTTTGGTGGTGTAAATTATTATATATGCCTGAGTGTTTTAAAAAAAAAAACCTAAA